ACTTGACAGGTTGTAGCTTTTTTCAAATCAAGTGTAAACATTTGTTTTCTCAACCACTGACAAAGTTTGGATTTCTTCTTGATGATTATCAGACACTTGTCCTCAGCTTACCATACGTCTAGTTAGAATTCTCCATCTGCCCCGTTCCATCCCACTCCCTCTCTCTTTCTGTCTCACACACACACACACACATATAAACACAAAGCACACAGACAAACACACACAGACACCACTTGTCTGTTCGGCAGTAGGGACTAATTTTGAATGACTCAATCATAATGAGAAAAAAAATCTGTACAAACTAATGACAGATTTCAGTTCAAATGTTCTGTCAATGATTGTTTTTGCAAGATATTTAAAACAATTCGATGGTGATGACATTACAACCTGGGGCACGACATTATGGCTTGATCACTGTCTATACATGTGATGCACATGGTGTACTGACTTATTACAGACTAGACCATACCTGACTTCAGTGGCGGTGAATGACAGGACATTACCTGCATTATCTACAGAAGGTGACAATACCAGCAGTGGTAGGAAATGTAATATTGACAGAATCAAATAGAGCGGGCATATTGACAGAAATACCTTTATAAATTATAAGGTAATATTATAAATATATTTATAAATGTAAGAACAAAGTATTAAAAAAACATGTGGTTGAACTAGATTTATGTCTCAAACTATACTTTGATGATGATGTGGTTAAGACAGCGAAGACTTCGATGTCTATAAAAAAGCTAAATGATAATGAGGCATGTATGCTTCATTTTTATGCTTTCCCCCCCTTTTCATGGACACAAAATGAATTTAAATAGAATTAGACTGAATATTCAATTCAAATTCTGCCGTTTGAGTATCAAACACACTACACCTATAGGCTTTAAGAGGGCCTGTAAAAACCCTAATGGAGAACATTAAATTCAATACAGAGGGGAAACCGTCAAAAGTTACGGTATATATAATATGTAAACTATGGTCAAAATTGCATATCTTTCATTTTTTGCAAGTTAAGTTACTAAACATTTTTGGAACTTTGATTAAGTGGTCATTTAGTAACATTTAACTGGATGTAGTCATCTGTGTCTTTAAAATGGACATCACATGATTACTATTTATTTAATAATGCAAAACCTTAGCAACAGATTATTACTATTAAATTTGCAAACCTGCAGCACAATCCACTTCTCTGCTCCTTACTATATGCCCCAATCTCTCTTAGTGACCAGAATTTAGCTAAATACAGTGCATTACTGTACATATGTGTTGTGCTCCTTAAAGCTCTGTAGCTCTGCCATAAGTAGTGTATTTAGCAATATATTAGCCAAAAGATTGTTTTTTATATATATAAGATTTATCAGTTGTTAATTGCATGCCCACACAGATGTAAAGAGGAGAAATGTATTATCCTGCATGAGTGGTTCCTATAGTCCAGTACAGTCCAGTAATGCACGCACACACACAGTCTCATACAGAGTAGTGGATCACCTGTGTCCTGCAGAGCTTTAATAGTAATGGTGGAGGTATTTCTTTAAGCAATGTTGTAAACTGGCTCATTGATTAGTAGATAAAGCCCTTTGCCCTCAGGAGGAGAAAAAAACTGAACACAGTTTGTGCACACACACATTACTTTTAATATAGTTGTGAGGACACTCGCTGACAAAATAAATTTCCTAGACCCGGAACCTAAAGCCCCCTGAACATGCAAGGGCAGGCCAAAATGTCCTCGTAAGGATGGTACCAAACAAATTTGACCACAAAACCAAAGAATAATATGTATACACACAGACATTGACTTCATGCAGATTGTTCAAACAAAAGCAAACAACGGCAGCAAATACAGCGCAGCTGGTTATAGCGAGAGTGAAAGGTGGACTGTGGACAGTGCCTTGATGTGTGAGCCTCTGTGTATGTCTGTCTTCAGTGTTTTATCAGTTTGCATTTTGCCTTAACAGTTCTGCAGCACAAATAATTATGTTTTTAATTACAGGGCACACAAACAGCCAGACAAAGAGAGAGCAGGTTGGGGATGGTGGAGGGAGAGATGCATTGAAGTAATTGGATCTAGCCTCAGGCACATCGCACACTTTCACTATGTGGTCAGCTACTTTTAACAAACATTCTCAGTCATTGCTCTCTCTCTCTCTCTCGTGCGCACTCTCTCTCTCAAAATGGTAGAAGTAAATATTGACTCTAAACACCCCTGCTTAGAGTCATGCTGTTCTAAGACAGGTAAACATGTCTGTGTTAATGCAAATGTGTATATATGTGTGCACTCCACCTTCTGTTGTAATTGATTACTCATATGACGTGCTTGTTTAATAACAATGGCAACTTAAATTGGTTTAACAAAAACTATAATACAGGTTTGAGGCCTCTGGAAATTTACAGTACGTGGTCTGAGTTGAAGATATAAATGTGACTCTGACCAGAGAGTCTAATTGGATGCGTTGTTACAAAAATGTAAAATAAATATACTGGAGTTTAAAGCAAAAACCTGAATCAATGAGTGGTCTCTTCCATAATGATAATGCCCCCAAAAGGCAGGAGGGGTCACTGAGTGGTTTGATGAGTATGTAAATGATGTGAAATCACATGTTATGGTCTTCACAGTCAACAAATCTCAACCCAGTTGAACACCTATGGGATATTTTGGACTGACGTGTTAGACGGGCAAAATACCAAATGAGAGAATGTCTGTTTGAAGAATGGTGTTCATCCCTCCAGTGGAGTTCAGAGACTTGTAGAATCAATGCCAAAGTAAACCGAAACTGTTCGGATGGCACATTTTAGCCCAACACCTTACTAAGACATTTATGTTGCTTTATTAAATTTGTAACCCTTTTCTATTAGTGGCCTTTAATAAAGAAGAAAATCAACTGCAAAATGACAGTTATTTGAACTCTTTAAGAGTTTAAAAGTCTTATCATAACTGTCTCCTTAGCAAAAAAGCTACTTTAACTCTGGTTAAACAGCTCCAGTTACAAGCAGCAGCAAGGAGATCATTTGTGTAGAGTTTATTGTGGTCAAGCACTTCAGAGAGGGAAAGGGGAGAATAGCTCGCACCCCTATAGCTGCATGTATTTCTCCATGTAGGTGTGTATGTCTGTGTGTGTGTGTGTGTGTGTGTGTGTGTGTGTGAGTGTTCCCTGTGGAGACCCAGCCTCAGTATACATTGTAAAGCCTCTGATAAAGTGATCTCTACTAACAGGGTGCAGCCAAGTACCCATTAATAATGCATGTAACCCTGCCACACACATACTGTATTTATGGACGCATGGGTGGACACATAGACACACACTTGTATCACACACCTGTGGCTGGATAAACTGTGGCCTTTCAAAGGCCATCCATCATGCAGTTAGAAATCAGAGATGGAAAGACAGAGAGGATGAGCGAGAGAGAGAAAGAAAGAAATGAAAAGGGAGGATGAAAGTTTGAAAGCAGCTGACAGCTAAATGAAAGTGGCTCAAGTGCCTTGGGCTATCTCCAATTATATTGATATTGAGAGTCAATCCCAACCTTATATCAAAGACACTGAACGAGAAAGGAAGTCCCAACTGTATTTGTCTAATAAACTTTGCAGACAGGTCCCATTATTTTAGTTGGTGTAGAATATTGGTCAGCAAAAATCAGCTTACACCAGTGTATGTATATGAAGCTTGGTTTGTTTCTCTTCAGTGTGCTTTAGCTTAGAAACCCTAGAAAGACAGAGTATCCTTCAAAATAGGAAGCCTCTTCTCATTATACCATTCTGTGCACCCATCTTTCTTTGCATCTGTCCATCAGTCCATCATTTATCACATCATCCTTTCATCCATTTATCTTCCCATCAGTACATCTCAGGACAGAACATCCAATACCAGTGTGCCTTGAGGTTACTCACAGGAGGGAATGAGACGCAAGGACACAATAAAGAGTGAAAAGTGACCAGTATCTGGAGGTTCGATGGACTATTAGCAT